TTCAGCAAACAGTAGCTTTTCCCTGAGGGGCTAGCTTCTGAGATACTCACAGGGCCCAGCCTGGAGCCATTCTCAGGGTTTATGTTTACTGAATTTCAATTGATTGTCAAGGCTGCTGAAGGGAGGAGTAGCCTCTGGCTCTGTTTACCCAGTGAAGAAAGCCACTCCTGGAGTTCGTGGTCCAAGCTGGGTGATTTTCCCTGGGTGGAGCTGAGCCTAGCAGGTCAGGTCAGGTTCCTGTGACCTGCTAAATGACTCTTGTTTTCTTCCAAGGCCTGACTTGGAACTGGCTGTTCAGCCAGGCCTTTGTCAGTATCAAAGACGGAGATCTCCAGTAGTGGGGGTGGGGGGGCTTCCCTCCTCTGCTCCCTGGGAAGGAGTGAGGATGTCAGGCTTCTACTCACGCTGGAGTCTTGGTTCCTGGGTCCTCTCTGGTCTGCGAACTGCAGGATGAAGATGTCTTCTCCTTGTCAGTTCTTGCTGGTGGTAAGTACAATCCATTCCCCAGCTGCGTCTGGTGCCTTTGTCCCAGACTCTCTGTGTGGCAGGTATGCCGCCACCACAGCCACGGCTACGGGCAAGTGCTCAGATCTGTCTCCTAGACTGGATTTTCTCTCTCTGGCCTAACTCTCTGTCCTGTGATGGCACACTTGGTGTGATTCTCTGGCTTAGGACTGTTCACTGGAACACTAAAACTGCTTTCTATGCGAGAGCTTGTTTAGCCTCCAGCTTCTCCTCCGCCATCTCCCTGTCCATCTTTTATTTTTTCTGATTCTTAAAGAAATACATCTATTGTGTTGTGCTCTTAATTCTGGCTTTCATTCTTTTTAAATTTGTAAACATATAACTTAATTACTACCTTATTTACTATAATTATCTTTATCCATACACGAAGGCAGTATTTAATAATTATCATTTAAAAATCTTTTAAGATGACAAATGTGTACATTCCTGTTATCAATAAATAAGATCTATTCTTTAAATAGATTGACACATATGGAACCATCTGTTTACTCTCTCCCATTATCAGAAATCAAAACCTGGAGTATTCACTTAACTTTTTTAATGTTTTACTTGTTCACTGGTAAAAGGGAAAACTAGAAGATTATCTCTATGATCCATTTTTTAAATAGAAGAATCTCATAATAAAGCTAGGAGAAAAGCAAAGAAGGGCTTAGCTGAGAACAGAAGCATATCTTCACATCCCAACCAGCTCTCAATTAAGAACATTCCCCTGGCTGTTTCTCAATCTTATTTTCAGACCTGTACATCAATATATCAGAAACACCAATTTTCCTTCAAATTAAAAAAAAAAACTGTAAGGGAAAATTTCCATAACATTAAACTCTCATGTGTTAATAATGTTTTTCTTTTGTGCAATGAGGCAATTTCTAATGCCAGGTAAGTTTATCATTTAACCTAGCTATTCTACGTCTAGAAAGGTTTTCTTAGGATATCATTTAAAAAATGCAAAGACATATGGATGGGGGTTAATATTTCAATATTTAAAAAATGGAAATGCCCAACACATGGACCTAGGAAAATAATGTCTGTCTATGTGGTACAATATAATATTCCATTCTCAGACATGACAATAATACTACTCTGAAAGAATGTTCAGAGCATATTGAAATAATATCAGGCTGAAAATAATATTATACCATTTTCTTGTTTTGATGTACAAGTAAATAGATGAAGAGAGTAGTAAGAGCATGAGAAAGTGATTTTGGAGGAAGGGGAGGGGAACTAATAAGCAATCATACAATAAGATTGTCTATAAAAATAAATACCAGAATCTTGGCACAGTAATGCAGTTCTTTTTTTTAAATTTTAATTTTTTTAATTAATGCTACTTTTATGTATTTTTTATTGTAAAGATACTATACAGAGAGGTTACAATTACATGAGTAAGGTAATGAATACATGTCCTATCAAGCATTGTTACCCCCTCTTTTGTTTGTCCCCTACCATCCCAACCTTCTCCACCTCCCCAAATCCTCCCTTGCACGTCCCCCATCCCAGCCCACTAGTTGTAAAGTTAATTTGCAACATAGGGTCTTGTAATCTCATTGTTACAGTGGATCAGCCTGTGTCCCTATTTAAGCATTTTGTTTTTTCCCTTCCCCTCCCCAAATCAGAAAAATGTATATACAAGATGCAGGGCATCAGAATCAAATACAGTGAAAACAGGGGTTATACCATGGGAGAAGAACATACAAAAGAAACAAAAAAAAAATCACATAGCACATTATAAGTACATTTAAACAACAGCAAGAAAGATAAAACCACTTGTATCCCTATCTTGGGGTTCATTTTGCTTAACATCATCTTATATCGTCATGTACACATAGTTTTTTACCTTTTGTGCTTTTCCTAGACTTATACTAGTTGTTGCTAGACATATACTAGTTGTTACTAGTTGTTCCCCATGGGAGACCATGGGACCTATGTTTTTTTGGGCCTGGTTTACTTCACTTAATATAACTTTTTCCAAGTCTTTACATTTCCTAACAAATGGGGCAGTGTCATCTTTCTGAGAGAGGCATAGAATTAGAAAAAAATGATATACATATATAACACATTTTCTTGATTCATTCATCTACTGAGGGGCATCTGGGTTGGTTCCATATCTTAGCTATGGTGAAAATGCTGCAATAAACATAGTTGTGCTGGTAGCTTTAGTGTGACCTTGTTTGTGATCATTTGGGTAAATGCCCAAAAGTGGGATTGCTGGGTCATAGGGGAGCTCTATGTGGAGTCTTTTGAGGAACTTCCATACTGCTTTCCAAAGTGGTTGAACAAGTTCACACTCCCACCAACAATGCAGTAGAGTTTCCTTTTGGCCACATCTGCTCCAGCATCTGTTGTTATTAGACTTCTTGATTATAGCCATTCTAACTGGGGTGAGGTGGAATCTCAGTTTTGTCTTGATTTGCATTTCTTTTATGGCAAGAGAAGTTGTGCATTTCTTCATGTGTCTATTGGCCATTCTTATGTCCTCTTCAAGGAAGTCTCTCTTTTAAGTCTTTAGCCTATTTGTTAATTGGGCTGTTCTTTCTTTGAGGATTTGTTGTTGGGGGATTTAGATTTTTGAGTTCTAAGTATATTTTAGATCTGAGGCCCTTGTCTGTTGTATGGCTAGTGAAGATCTTTGCCCAATCTGTGGGCTTTCTATTTATTTTGTTAGCTATGTCCTTTGCCATGCAAAAGCTCTGCAGTTTCATGTAATCCCCTTTGTCCAGCCTTTCTTTGATTTGTTGTGTTTCTGGGTCTCTATTAAGAAAAGTTTGGCCTGTGCCAAGGAACCCTATGGTTTCTCCTATTCCTTCCTGTAATGTTTTCAGAGTGTCTGCTTTGACTTCTAGGTCTTTGGTCCATTTGGAGTTGATTCTGGTGAAGGGTGATATAGAAGGAGCTAGTTGTAGCTTTCCACAGTTGTTTAACCAATTTTGCCAGCACCATTTACTGAAGAGGCTGTCTTTCTTCCATTCTATTTTTTTAGCTCCCTTATCAAAGATTAGGTGCTATAGGTCTGTGGGGTCATTTCTGGGTCTTCAGTCCTATTCCTTTGGTCCCCAGATCTGCTCTTCTACCAGTACCAAGCTGTTTGGATTAGTATAGCTTTGTAGTAGAGTTTGAAATTTGATATTGATATTCCTTCAGCAGTCTTCTTTCTGCTAAGGATTGTTTTTGCTATTTGGGGTCTTTTATTGTTCCACATGAATTTTTGGGTTGCTTCTTCTATTTCATTGAAGAATGAGGTTGGGGCATTGATAGGTATTGCATTGAATTTGAAGATAGCCTTTGGCAGCATTACCATTTTCATGATGTTGATCCTCCCAATCCATCTCCTCCACCATCTTCCTCTGGAATCTAATTTCAATTTTTATTTTAAAGGTGATAAACAGAGGGGTTACATATGTCAAGTACTGAGTCCTTTTCTTTTTTTCCATTTCTTTTTTGCACAGTGGTGTAGTTCTTTAAGCCTAGATACTCAGTATATGGAGATGGAGAAAATCAAAGTTTGAGGCCAACTTAAGAGAATAAGTTAGTAAGATTCCCAATTCAACCAACAGCTGAGCATAGTGGTAACTGCCTGTCATCCCTGCTACACAGGAAGCATAAATAGAATAATTATGATCCAAGTCAACCAGACAAAGACACAAGATTCTATTTTAAAAGTATCCAGAAAAAGGATGGAAGTTTGACTCAAGTGGTAAGAATCTGGCTAGCAAGGATAGGACGTGAGTTTAAATCTCAGTACATCCAGATAAATAAAAACTAAAAAATTAGCACTAGAAAGTATATAATGCTGATCTCTGAATTTACTTGTGAGATTTAAAAGGGAGGTGAATATGTAAGTAGAATTGTTTGTAATTATATAGACTCACTTGCATATATTATTAGAAAATTATCTTCAAAATAAACATTTGTTTATGCTTTCATTCAATTTCATATCCTAGCAAAATAAAATGCTCTAAGATATTTTGAATTACAAGAAATATATTTTTTTCTTTAATAAACCTTTGATTGGAAAGCGAAGGCACTATAAAAATTTCCGAACAGGTATATCCACCCAGAAGAACATATGAAAACACTCTAATAAGGTATGTCTGAAATTGCTCCTAATATTCTAATCAGAAAATTAATATATAGTCATTCCCAATTATTTCATCAAATATCTACCAATAATGTTTCCAAAATTTTATTAAGAAATAAATAAGTTGATAAATGAAAAAAATAATAAACATTCAAATAAAAAGCTACCATCAGCATACTAGCTATAAAATAATTGTAAACCATCCAATCCTAACAATTCTAAGGTCTATGAGTTGAAGGATGATGTAGAAGAATTCCAAATTCATTGGTCATTAAAGGAAGGTAAGTATTCAATTCTTATGGATCCAGAAATACAAAAATAAGTTTTGAGAATTTGTCCTCTATATGAAAATGAAGATAATCTGAAAAAGACACCTAAGTAATGTGACTCTGTCTCTTACCTTATTGCATAAGTAGAAGCTGTGACCATGAGAAACAGCACCAGGACCATGCAGACTCCAGTCAGGCCAGGAACTACAGATTAAAAGGAAGAGTACACAAGTCCATTTTAAGTCAAATCATACTTTCAAAAAGTACAAAACAGTACCTTAAAATCCAAAAAAATTATGCTATGCCACAAAAAACAAGATTCAAATTACATATCTTAAATGTATCTTCCCTTCAAACAAGACTTCTATAGAAATCAGCCCAGTTTCAAAATACTTGAGTCACTTTTCATTTTTCAGTAAAAGAGTCCATTCCTATGTGCTAAAATACCATACTCAGAGTAGTGAATGTGTACTTAGGTCTGCAAATATAAATTATACACAATATCAGTGACTACTGCCAGGGCAGAAGAACACCCTTTCTGTATTTTTCCCCATCCTCTACTCAATCTCTCGTATTCTTCCTTCTCACCCTTTTCCAGGCTACTGGTTTCCTCAGTTTCTAGTTCAGATAACTTAATTTGGACTATCTGAAATAATTTTAAAGAAAAATGTCTTGGAGTACATTTTGCTTAACATTATCTCATGTGGTCATATGTACATAGCCTTTGATCTTCTTTGCTTGTCCTAGACATGTCTAGTCATTGCAAACAAGGGAAACCATGGGACCTATGTTTCTTTGGGCCTGGCTTACTTCACTTAAGATGATTTTTTTCCAAGTCTTTCATTTTCTAACAAATGAGGCAATGTCATTCTTTCTGATGGAGGCATAGAATTTGAGATAATGTTAAGCAAAATGTACCCCAAGAAGGGACACAAATGTTTTTTTTTTTTTTCTTGCTAGTGTTTTTAATGTACTTACAATGCACTACGTGATTCTTCTGTTTCTTTTCTATGTTCTTCCCCCATGGTATAACCCCTTTTTTCACTGGATTTGATGCTGGTGTTCTGCATCTTGTATACACATTTTTGTCATTTGGGGAGGGGAAGGGATATTGGGGAATGCTTAAATGGGGATGCAGGCTGACCCATTGCAATGATGAGATGTACAGGACACTATGTTGAAAACGAACTTTACAATGTCAGGGTTGGGGGGGGGAGTGAGAGGAGTTGGGAAGGTGGGGAGGGAAGTGATGGTGGGAGGGAACAAAGGAGGAGGTAAAAATGCTCGCTATGAAATGTATTCATTACCCTACTCGTGTAACTGTAACCCCTCTGTACAACATTTTTACGATAAATATATATTTAAAAAAAGAAAAATGTATATTTTAAACTAAAGCTTTTTCAAAAGCCACACATGCAAGAAAGAATTATATATCTGAAAAAGAAAGCAATGAAAAGGACCATGCTGAGCAAAATACAATACATTTCACAATAAAATACCATGATATAGTCCAAGAAAGAAAGAAAGAGAAGAAAGAAAGAAGGTAGGAAGGAAGAGGGAGGAAAGAATGAGAGAAGGAAGGAGGGGAGGAGAAGAAAGGGAAGGAGGGAGGAAAGAAGGAATAAAGAAAGGATAGGCAATTAAAACAGTATGGGGTAAGCTTGGAGGCATCAGTGAGCAAGGTATAGGTTAACAAGGGGATGAATCAGGATAAATATTGCCAGAACAGTTTTTTTCCCCATGTATAAAAATAAGACAAGAAAACCTGTTTAAAGAAAGAGGGGTAAAGAAGAGTGAAACAGAGGAAGAGACTTAATGAAATTTATATACATATATATATACACTCATTTATGTATGTATATGTATTAATTCCATTGTGTATATTTCAATATATGTTTATTTCAATGTATGTATGTATTCCAATGGACGCACACATATATGAATAAACACACATGCTGAAATAAACATACACAGATTGTATATGTGTGTAGAAATGTCACCATGTAACCTTCCTTTGTATAACGAATGTATGCTAATATGAACAAAGAATTGTAGATTTTAAGAAAAATTACTGCATTGATATCTTAACATTTGCAGACATATTTCTTTTTAGTATGGAAAAATATATTCTAGCATAATGAAAAACAGAAAATGTGTAAACATCTTGTCAAACTTAATAAAACGATCACTATACATTTAGTGTTTGACCCTATAGAGTGTCTCAAAAGAATTACTGATGAACCATAAATTGCAAGTAAAATATCAATAGGATCTTTTTTGCTATATTTTCACTACTAAATTTAATATCCTATCCAGGTTATACTTTTTTACTCTTAAAATCACACTAACAATGTTAAGTTCTAAAGGCTCTGAGAGACTCTTAAATTAGAACACAAAGTAAGACTGCTAAAACAATTGTCTCTGGAGAAATACACACTTCACTTATCTTCTAGGCAAGGTACTCCCTGTGAAACAGAGGGGATACTGCGACTGTGAGCCACTTGTAGAAGCAAACAAGCTGGGTGCAATCTAAGAACAGTATAGATATGAACTGCTTAGATCCCAGAGGTTTAGAATCACTGAAAAAATAACATTGAACCCTGATTACAATAGAAAAATATTCCACATAAAGAGAAAGCCAGGGGAATGATGAAAGATTCAATCTTTTGACTCTTCACTGTTGAGTACTTTCTTCTGCTCACTTTCCCCAAAACATAGATTTAGAACCCTTAGGTAATATGTTTCCTGATGTACTAAGACTAAGTCATGTCTTCCTAGGCTATTTTCTTTCCCATTATCTTTTCCATTTTCTCCACAGAAGTGCTCACTTCCTGAAGATAAGAGAAGAAAATAACCTAGTTTACACTAAAAGATAAAAGGTTCAGAAAGAATCCCTGTTTAAAAAAAAATAGCATGCTCTTGAGCTGGTCATATGTGGCTCACCTCTATAAACCCAGTTATGTGGGAGGTGGCAATTAGTTAGTACAATGCCAGCTGGAACAAAATATTAGTAACATTCCATCTTAACAACACCAGGAACGGAGATGCACATCTGCAATACCACCTACATTGTAGGCAAAGGTAGAAGGATCATAGTTCAAAGCCAGTCTAGTGAAAGCATTTGACGCTATGTGAAAAATACACTAAAGCAAAAACGATAAGGTTTATGCAAGTGATGGGGCACCTATCTAGCAAGCTGCAGGTCTTAAGTTCAAACGTCAGTATCATGGCCTCAGAATAACCTAGCTACTGCACTGCCAAGCTTTTGCAGAAACAAACATTTAACCACATAGAGACTTGCTTAATATTGTGCATAGCTGTTTATTTTTAATAGTCAGGTTATGCTTAACTGAGACCTCAGTCAACATATGAATGGAGAAGGACCTGTAAAATTACCTTTGCCAGAAAGCTCACCAGTAATAACCCCTCCCCATAAGTGTTGACATAATAAGCAACCACGTTAGACAGAATAAAAGAATTCAGTTTGCCTCACCCCACAAAAAATATAGAAAATTCACATCATTCTTTAGTGACAAAAAGCAGATCAGTTTTGGCAAGGGGTAGAGGACAGAAAACATTGTTCAGGAACACAAAAATTTGGAATGCACTAATGGAAATGTTTGCCATCTTGATGTTGCTAATAGTTTGACAGGATTTGTAATATGTGTGTATGTATGTATATTAAAGCCAATCAAATTCTATACTTCACATGTATGTGTAAAGTAGTAAACCTCAACTGTAAATCGATAAATTAGAAGAGGAATGAAAGAAGGTTGTTCTCCCTGATTTTAAGTAAATAAAAAAATAGACCCTTACTCAACCTAATGATTAACTATTTGTTAGACTCTAAAATGGCTACACTACATGAAATTTGTAGTTGGAAAAGTCTCTGCAATGTTTTTATTGGATCTGTACTAATATTATATAAAGTTGTTTCCTTGTAGTTTTCTATGTAGTTAAGAACATGTAGTTAAGAACACATAGTTGGGGCTGGGAATGCGGCTTGGTGGTAGAGTGCTTGTCCAACATGCATGAAGCCTCAGTATCACATATACAGAAAAAGCCATACATGGTGCTGTGGCTCAAGTTGGAAGAGTGCTAAGGTGCTAGCCTTGAGCAAAAGAAGCTCAGGGACAGTTCCCAGGACCTGAGTTCAAACCCCATGACTGGAAAAAAAGAACATGTAGTAAGATTAGAAAGGGAATGTCTGTAAATCATCTCATTAGAAGGACATATGAAAAAAATGGATACCAAAGTGTATTGTTGAACACTAATTGGAATTTTATATATATTACTCACAAATGCCAGCATCATATGGTGGTTCATGACTAAAAGCCCAACTACATACAAGATAGAGATGGGAGTATTGTAGTTGTAAATGTTAGCAAGCCCCTACCTCAAAAACAGGCTGGATCTGGTAGTGTACAATTGTAATCCATTATAAGAAATACAGCCTGGCACTGGTGGCTCACACCTGTAGTCCTAGCTACTCAAGAGGCTGGATCTGAGGATCATGGTTCAAAGCTAGTCCAGGAAAGAATGTCCATGAGACACTTATCTCCAATTAACCATCAGAAAAGTGGAAATGGCACTGTGTTTCAAGTGATAGAGCGCTTGTTTTGAGCTGAAGAGCTGAAGGACAGCACCCAGGCCCAGAGTTCAAGTCCAATGACCAACAACAACAACAAAAATGAAATATAACAGTAGGAGGATCATGGTCCAAGATTGACCTGGGCAAGAGCAAAGGACCCTGAATGTGACTTAAAGTGGTAAAGCACTTGCCTCGTAAGCACAGTGCCCTGAGCTCAAAAAACCATAGAACTAAAACAAAACAAAACAAAAATCATAATCATCCACTGAAGAGTACTAAGACATGGCAGTGTATTAAAGTCATTTAGGAATGCTAATATCAAAACCTCCATCTAAACTTATTTCTTCAAATGTATTGTACCAATGAATTTATTTTAGAGCAGAACATGGCACTTACATTGAAAATCATAGCGGTATAAAATGGTTAACTTCAGCCATTTTAATATGAAATAGATCCAGATCTCCCAATGGTCTATAGATTTTGAGTTTATGGTATTATTACTGTTCCTAGGCAAAACTCTAATGTTTCTTAATCTCTTGTAAACTAAGAGAAATGATTACAACAATCTGTGTGTAGATGTGTATGCAAGCATGTGTGTAGATGCATGTGTGTATGTGTGTGTCTATGTGTGTGCTGATTCTGAGGCTTGAACTCAGGACCTGAACACTGACTTTGAGGGGTTTTTGCTCAAGGCTCAGAATCAGCACACACACAGACACACACAAACACACGTATACATATAAACACATACATACACATGCACTATACACTCTACCACTTGAGCCACAAATTCACTTCCAACTTTTAGGTGACTAATTGGAGATAGTCTTACTGACTTTCCTGCCCAGAGTGGCTTTGAACCACAATCTTCAGATCTCAGCCTCCTGAGTAGCTAGATCACAGGCATGAGCCACTGGCACTTGGCAATCACAACAATTTTTAACATTCATTATAATCAGAATTACATGTCGTACATTTTAAAGTCATGACACAATGTATATATTAGTATTTAAATGAATATTGTGATCATCCAAACTATGAAACTTTGAAATTATTTTTAATACTTTTTTAATTCTTTTAATATTTTTTTCTACTTGTTATGTAGCAAGTCTAATTAGCACACTTTATCTAAATAATTCATTCTTTTTTTTTATTTCCTGCAATGATTAAAAGATTAGAATCCAAGCTAGAGATGTAGTTCAGAAATACAGCACATGCCTAGCTTGCCCTAGGCAATCCTCAACAACCCCAAAGAAGAATAGAGATTGTAACCTGTAAACAAAGTAGATTACAGATCAGCAAAAAAGAAAAAAACTTGTAAATAACAATGAAAAAGAAAGCTTATTAAAGTTAGAATGGTTTAAAAATATAAAAAAGGAAAAGTAGACTACTTTAATGAAACTCCAAACTCCAGTCACAAGAAGCACACAGCAGAGAGAGATCCCCCTATATCCTGGGATTCTGAGAGATTTATGTATCAAATAATAGAGCTACAAAGTGCTTCTAATTGCTCAGATTGCTGTGTGTTGGTTACACAGTAGATCATTAAATATTCATTCACCAGAGACACAGGAAGAGTTGAATACTAAATGATTTAAGTGCTGCTCTTCTGGTATATTGGAGGGCACACCCAAATCCAGACTTAGAAGTCATCTTTAACTACATCACTAGCTACATCCCAATGTATTAGACATTTATAGCTACACATTCTAACTGTCAAGAGAAATAAGCTAAAAAATTACTGGGCTAATGTGATTACACTGGACTGAGTTACTTTCCAGATGAACCCTTGAAGAAGTTATGAAGCCAATTGATTCTTACAAAAATAGAAGTTTTTATGTTTAGTTTTAGTTTTTAATCTATGTATATTAAATTCATTGAACAGTAGTCTTTAAAATGAAGAATTAGAGTAGCTCACAACTGTAATAATAGCTACTCTGGAGGTTGAGATCTGAAGATTGTGGTTCAAAGCCAGCCTGGGCAGGAAAGCTGGAAGTGAAGCTGTAGCTCAAGAAGTAGTAGTGTGAGAACCTTGAGCAGAAGAAAGAAAAAGCTCATCGACAATTCCTAGGCCTGAGTTCTATCCTCAAAACTTATAGAAGAAAAAGGAGAAGGAAGAAAAGAAAGAAGAGAAAGTACAGGAGGAGAAAGAGGAAGAGAAGGTAGAGGAGGAGGAGGAGGACAGGAGGAAAAGATGAACCTAAGTTTCATTTACAAAATTCCTAATGTGGTCACAAACAAGCAATCTTCTAATTACTCTTTATCTTTCTACTTACTCTTTTTAATCTCACTTCTTCTAACACCATTGGAAATCTAATTGTATTGGCTTATGCAAGATTTTCTAATTGAAGTAAGATATTGAATATTTTATTGTCACCATAAGGCAATATCCAATTTAGACATATAATATATAACTATTTAAATGAATGTTTAGTTAATCCAACATATTAAACTTATTTCAATTTATTAATGCTAATTTAAATACACTTTTGCCAGTTTCTATGTAGCAAGTATAACTACAAACTTTATGTCACTTGTTCTACTATAAACTTTATTTTTTAGAAAACAATGTTAGTTTTCTACTTTTAAATTACAGTGAAAAAAATTAAACCCAAAGAGAGAAGACTACACAATAAGCACACTAAAATCTGAGAAACCTTAATAAAAATATCCTTTACCACCAGGACAACCCCAAATATGCATATGTATTGCTTCACCTGAACCTAATTTTTCCTAGGAACTGCACCTAAGAACACTCAAACATGTATGTAGAATTTCAGTCAGTAGTAATAATGCAAAAGTGAAATATAATCCAAAACTCTAATTACCCAAGTCTAATATCCATGTCTATCATCAAAAGTAGTAACAATACAAAAATCTATTTGTAGAAAATTGCATCTCTCATTCTCCTGCCATCCATAAATTCTTCTGCGCTCTCTCACATCCTACTACTAAGTAGGGTCAACCAGATGACTCTGGAGCACCTGACTCCTCCTCAGGAAGCCATGTTTGGGTTTTAGTGTAGGTGACTAACTCAGAAGTTCACAGATCTAGCTGGCCAATACAGTATTTTTTTCATGAGATTATGTAAGACTGGGCTAACAAAACAGTGGCCACTTGCTCATGTGAGGTGACTTAAACTATCCATATTGGCAGAAGTCACAAAAATAATTTATCTTGGTCCTGTGTTCCTTAAAAGCATCTATCCATACCCTAGAACTCTTTTTCTGTAGAAAAGACAGTACATATTGGTAAAGAAATCCAAACCACAGTAAAGTCACAAATTAGCTGTAGAAATCTTAAGGTTAGCAGCCATTGAACAAGTAAAAAAAGGTTGTATATGTCAGGCCAAAGGCAAGTGGTAGCAAGAAAATATGATGAAATGTTCAGTGGTGATGGGTAGAATGTGTGGTCATGTGTCTTCCAGGAACTTTCTAAGATGAGGCCAGGAAATTTGCATTTTTAAGTATCTTCTCTTCTATAGTACTACTCCTGGCAACCTCTGGAACCAATGTAAAATGATGGAGTATATGAAAAATGAAGGGATATACTACTTATACAGAATTATTATATCAATTAATGTAATATCCTAGTCATAGTTTAAAAATAGCTTAGAAACCCTACTTCCTGAAGTATTTACAAATATCTCAATGCTTTGATTTAACTTTATAAATATATATATATATATATATATATATATATATAAAGTGGAATATAAAGTTCTGTTTATGTCTCTTAAATTAATTCATATCAGCTGTGTGCCAGTGGCTCATGCCTACTGAGGAGGCAGATCTAAGGATCTAAGTTCAAATCCAGCCCAGGCAGTAAAATCAACAAACTCTTATCTCCAATTAACAACCAAAACCCAAAAGGGAAGCTGTGGCTCAAGTGGTAGAGCATTCTCCTTAGGCCCTGAGTTCAAGCTCTAGAAAGCACTAAAATAAATAAATAAATAATCAAATGTACACTTTTTCTTACATAGGGTTTAAGGGTTTTTTTTGCTTTCCCCTCTTGTTTGTCATCCAATTTTTGATGCATAGAAACATATTTTGACAAGAAAAACATAAGCAAAACTAATTTGTGGTCCTTGAGAAAAAAATGTGAAATACTTTGTAAGTGACAAATGTCACAAATCCATTGGCAGAAAGAAAATGTAATTTATACACCTGAATATATAACTGTGACATGCAGGGGTAATTACATATATAACTTTTGTTACTGTTCATCATTAGATTGGTTCCAAAGAAAACACTGTATTTGGCAGGGTAATGAGACCTATCCCATAACACAGATCTGAACCTAATGAGGCTCTCACAGCCAGTCATGAGCTCCCAAATCCTCCCTCTCCCCTGAAATACGTGTTCCAAGACCTCACAGTGCCTTTTATCCTTATCAAAACATGTTAGAATGAGGAAAAATAATAAGAGTCGTCCAATATCCAGGACATTTTTGAGATGTATAAATGTGGTTTGAAAAACTAAACAATTTAAACTGAGATTTGTGGACAATGTGATTGAAAAGGAAAAATAAATTGCAAATGAAAAGGAGGCATACTTCAGAAACAACTGGTTGCAATGACTATTTCTCTTCTTTCTTACAGGTCTTTTGTTGTTGTTTTGTTATAAAGCAACTTAATTCAATGCATGGGGTCTCTCATAATTTTTGCTCAAGGCTGTCACTCTACCACTTGATGGTTAATTGGAGCTAATAGTCTCACAGGATTTCCTGACAGGGCTGGCTTCAAACACGATCTTCAAATCTCAGCCTTCCAAATAGCTAGGATTACAGGAATAAGCCTGGCTCTTGTGTGCTATAAAACAGTATTTAATCTTACTGAAATAATGCATTATTAGTTACATTAGTACCCATGGGGCTTGGTGGATCTTTCCAGCACCTGGAGAGCAGGTTTGCTTACTTCTTCTTCATTCATTCAAGCATTAACTCCTTGCCATATCCCTCCGTGATTACTGCAACCTTATGTTTGAACTGTTAATATTTGTTCTGATACGTAAATTCACATGTACATGCTCACTTGTATCTGACTACCACGGTTTGTCAGTGCTTATTGTCAAAGATATTCCCCAAAGATAAAGAAAGGTACTGAATAGCAACTTACCAGTTGTGAAGAGAAGTTTTCTAGGATCCTAGGAAAAAGGGAAAAAATATTTGATTGAAAAATAAAACACTGATGAAATAAAATCTATTGGTAAGTAGCCAGGTATTAGACCTGTGTATTTGAGCATCTCAAAATGTGTTCTTCCAGTTTACATGAGACTCACATTTCATAACATGTTTACAAAGAAAAAGTCAATACAAAGAAAAAGGCAGGGCATGAAAACCTAGTGTTAATGTTAGTTAAGCAAGGGACTTAAGCTGACTGTTCAACCATTTTGACTCAATAGCTTAAGCTATCATGTTAGGTTTTACTATGTTGCCTCAGCTGGTATTGAATTAATGGGCTCAGATGATCCTTCGACCTCAGCCTCCAAGACATTGAACTGTAGGTACCACCAAATCAGTCTTAACTTTATTAACATATGCCTACCTACTGCAATTGCCAAACTGCATCTAAGAAGACACTGACAATAAAAAAAATGAAGTGTGTTGAGGACTGTACACTGTAAACTTAGAACAAAGACCGTTAATGGAGAATTTATTTTGTTTCAGATGCTAACAAAAATAACTCATATAAGTTTCTGTTATTTGGAAATTCAAAACATTAATATTGTTAATGCAATATTGCCTTTAAGCAACATCTGTCCTGCTGTTATGTACTATAGTCAATTTTTTCTATTTTCTGGAAAATGTGGGTTATGGATTTCATTTTCACCTTTATGGTACTTACTATTGTAGGACTATTGAATCTCTCTCTTCATGCATCCATTTTATCTGAGGGTATACCAGGCTACAGAGTACACAAAGCAAGTAGGGAAGCATATGGTATAATTCAGATGCCTTGATTAAGGACTACATATCTAGAAACAGCTTTTCACCTAACATAGGTCAAATGATTTACCATTTTGAAATGTGGATAAGAGGTGATCAAGAGAAAGCCAATATGATCATTTTAGTTTTATCTTTTTTTTTTCAGTGCTGGGATTGAATGCAGAGCTTGGCATGTGCTAGACAATGTGCCAGACAATGTGCCACCACTGACTACACCCCACCCCTGAGAAAACCAATGTGTTTCCATCTCATAAAAACATGAATTGGGCTGAACAAGTGCTCACACAAGAGCTATGAACAAATAAACATGGTAACCAGAAGATATAAACATGACTACTGTCAGGGAAGAAGATGGAACATAAGAGTGAGAGATGAGTGAAAAGATGAGATAGATTTAAACTGAGCCCCAGGACCCAGGACTACACTGCAGCCACAGCTGGAGAATGGTTATTCCAGGCAAGGTAGAGTCAAAGCAAGGACACTAAAGAATAGGGAAGGAAGTTTGCCTATAATAATATATGTGTTGATTTTATATGTGTATGTGCGGTATGTGTAGTATGTGTATGTGTAGTATGTGTGTGGTATATTAGTATATGCATATGAGGTATGTGTGCAGGAATGTGTGGCTTTGTGCAGTGTGTGTGATACATTCGTATGAGACTATGTATGGAGTGTGTTTGGTATGTATATGAGGCTGTATGTATGAATATGCATGTATGTAGGAGATGTGTGATATAGTGCATGAGTGTATATGTTTTCTATATACATGTGAAGTTTGTACATGTACTTCAACTACATCAAGCACACAGCCCTATACCTGCTAGATAGTAAATACATATTTATTAAAAGAGGAGAAAGAACAAAAGGCCACATGAAAGAAAGGGTAAAATAACAAAGGAAAGGAAACATCCAGTTTTCAGCAGTGAGTGGCCACTTTCATCCATTAGATTTGCAAAACAAACAAACAAAAAAAAACAAACAGAAACAAGTCTGAGAAGTAACTACTCTGATACAATGCAGGTAGAAGTATGTATACTGGGAAGGCCTTTTGAGAACTATCTACTTTGTTTTCTATTTATTAAAATTGTTTTGTACTATTGCTAAAGCTTAAAATCTGCACTTTGAGTTAAAGTTTTGCCTATGTATCTGCATGGCAGATATGAAAAAAGAAATGAGTGTACTGGGATGTGGTTAATGCCAGTCCTGTGACTAAGGATGGTGCACAAAATAAAAGATGGTGCATTCATTGAAAAAGATCTGACAGATTTGTGTGCATGATGACATACAGAACTCAACATTTTCACTCATTCCTCCTAATCTACCCTTTCCCTCATTTTTTGTAATTTTGTAAGACACATATTGAATTTTTGACTGCATTCTCCTCCTAAATTAAGAAACTTGATGCCTCCATCAGAAAGAATGACATTGCCCCATTTATTAGGAAATGGAAAGACTTGGAAAAAATTATATTATGTGAAGTAAGCCAGGCCCAAAGAAACATACATCCCATGGCTTCCCTTATTTGCATAACTAGTACATGTGTAGGACCAGCAGAAAAAGCCAAAAGCTATGTACATATGACCATATAAGATGATATTAAGCAAAAAATGAACCCCAAGATAGAGACACAAATATCTTTTTTCTATCTTGCTATTGTTTCTAACGTATTTATAATATACTATGTGATTTTTTTGTTGCTTTTATGCTCCTCCCCCATGGTATAACCCCTGTTTTCACTGTATTTGATTCCAGTGCCCTGCATCTTGTATATACACTTCTTTAATTTGGGGAGGGGAAGGGAAAAAACAAAATGCTTAAATAGGGATACAGGTTGACCCATTGTAACAATGAGATGCACAAAACACTATGTTGAAAACGAACTTTACAACTTAGGTGAGGAGGAGGGAGTGTAGTTGTTTGTGGAGGTGGGAGGGAAGGGATGGTAGGGGAAAAACAAAGGAGAAGGTAACAATGCTTGATAGGAAATGTACTCATTACCTTGCTCATGTAACTGTAACCTCTCTGTGAAGTATTTTTACAATAAAAAAACATTAAAAAAAAGAATAGCAACAAAAACAAAATCATGAAACTCACTAATATTTTAAATCTAATAAATAATTGTTGAAGATCCACAAACAATAACCTGCTTCTCTGCCCTTCCCCCTCAGCCCAGTATGTGACTTATTAAGGTACTTTTAACCTGCAATGGAACTGCAACTCCACTGAATGACTGGAATTAGACAGAAGCTGGTGAGAGTCAGATGTGAATGACAAGCCTCTGAATATGGCAGCATATAAACGGTAGATACTGCAAACTGTCATTTTCAGCAGGAAAGACTGAAATAGTAATTACCTATACTTTCTATTGAAAGGGAATAGAATTCAACTTGACAACTGCATTTCAAAAAGCACTCTTAAGAAGCATCAAGGTATAAACTTGCTGTGAAGAGAAAAAAAATCACAGAGCCTCATTAGTCATCTAGTCAATAGTGAAGGAAAAATGGAGAGACAGAGACCACCCACCTCATGTCGATATCTTGCTGCATTCAGCTCAAGGAAATCTTCACTGTAGTTCACTGAGAAGTTGAGGGCATTTATCAGGTGGGCAGCCACATGTACACCTATGGAACCACACCACGCACACATCAGGGAGGTTTTATACGCCCAATGCCAAGGAGCAAGTAAAGGTCATTAAAGGTCAAAACTTTTGACAACAATATAAGCAATGAAATATTAAACTCAAAGTGCTTATAATACAAACAAATACATCACCTGAATAACAATCATTAATCAGACTTTCAAAGACTTTAATGAATTATTAAGTCAGGTTAAGGGAAACAAGAGAAAGGTAATTATACCCCCATCATACACACATACATTATAGTATCTGTAATGGCTAGCAGACTCCACCCTCCTCGCAGCAAAGTCTCCACCCAGTACCTGCGTTACCTAGGCAACTGGGACACCTGGAAGAGGTCACATCTGCATCAGCTGAGGTCACATCTGAATTTGATGTGGCCACACCTTTCTCCGCCCTTACCCTAGATAAGGCCTAGCCCAGGCTCACGCACTCTCTCTGTTCATTTCTAGCTCTCTACTCTCTGTGTTCTATTCTAGCTCTCTGCTCTCTCTGTGTTCTATTCTAGCTCCCTCTCTGTTCGTTTCTAGCTCTCTGCTCTCTCTGTTCTTTTCTAGCTCTCTCTCTCTGTTCTTTTCTAGCTCTCTCTGCTCTCTTGCTGTTCTTTTCTAGCTCTATCTATCTCTCTCTGCTCTCTCTCTGCTCTAGCTCTTTCCTCTCTCTTTCCTCTCTCTCCCAGCTCTCTCTCTTTCCTAGGCCTTTCCCAGCCGTGTGGAGTGCCAACCTTGCCTGGTTCCAGCAGGTCTACTGAATAAACCTACCCCTTACCTGAATACCACGTGCGTGCTGGTGCTGTTCTTACTTGGCTACCTCTTTTTAAAAACCTAACTGTATCTAATAGGCATTTATTTATTTTTTACTAAGTGGCTCCTCGTGTTCCACATCTTTCATCTCTCCCTTATATTCCAATCTTTTATATATATATATATATATATATATATATATATATATATATATATATACACAAATACATATATATTATAAACTTCACTGTCACACAAATAAAATATAGGCCTATTAAAAGGCTTTTAACCACTGAATACCTTTTCCAATCCATAGATAAAAGCTTAAGCCAATAGTAAAATTTTAGGAACCACCTATTGAAACAAAACTTATCTATTTTCTTGATTAGAAACTTATCTGCAGTGGCACAGCAGTGGTCAGTCAATATAGAACTCATACAAAAGATGAAGTATAATGAAATTATGAGAAACTTTAAGACAAACTCATTTTGACATAGTTAAGGAAGAAGAAAATTCTCTTAAGGAGGATGAGGGCAAGGAAGGTACAAATAAGATACATGATCAGCCCTTCAAACCTTCTGGCTTTGCCAACTTTATCTATAAAGTGTTAATTGTATGTGTTTATGGGGCACAGTAATTCAATATAACAGGTACTGATCAAACCCAAGTAATTAATATCTCCATTTCAGCATTACTGTAAGGACTCAAGGCTCTTCTCTTCTCATAATTCATAAAATATATGCTAGACTATTGTGAACTACAGTCACCCCACAATGTTGAATATAAACTAATGCCTTGATAGATTTCCACTATGTGTCCTCGAGTAATTTCAAATATTTTATTGACATTTTTATCTCTTTTTGGTTTAATACTTATTTAGAGTAAGAGATAGTTTCCATTTTCTGCACATGAAGAGTGCCAGGAACCAAGTGCTGTTTGCTAGAAAATACAGCTACTACCTTCAACCAAGTGCTGTTTGCTAAGAAAACACAGCTACTACCTTCGATGTGTTAAGCCTTGGAGCCTATTGATACCCTGTTTGACAACATTGCCTGGGGCCACCACTTTGCATAAGAACCACCACCACTTTGCATAAGAGCCATTAAGCCTTACAACTTATGGATGTCCTGTTTGACAACATTGCTTGATGCCTTCTGAAGATTCCCCACCTATGACCTTTTGCAAGATATAGTTTGCAGTTTTGGTGCCTAGCAACCCTATTGACCTGCTGATGCTAAATACCCTGCTCAGCGTGCTATATATACTGCTGTGTAAAAAATAAAGTTTGAGACCTTGATCAGAACCCTGTCTTGGTCTCCTTCCTCGTGTCTGGTTTGTCTCTCATTCAGGTCAGTTCCTCTTTGAGCCCTTGTTGAGCGACCCCGTGGGCAGGGGCAGAAGAGGATACAGTATTCTTGGTACCATTTATTGAAGAGGCTCTTAATTCACCAGTGACTGTTTGGTAGTTATAAATAAATGAAGCTATTTCTTTCTGAGCAGTTCATTTTGTTCCATTGGTCTGTGTGGTCTGTTTTATGGTACTGCTATGCTGTTTGGATTACTACAGCTTTGTTGTATATTTTGAGGTCTTCAGCTTTGTTCTTATTCTGCTCAAGATTGTTTTGGCTATTTGGAGTGTTGTGTTTCCATACAATGTTTAAGATGGTTTTCTCTAGTTCTGTGATGAAATGTCATCAATCTCTGTTGCAAATTGCATTAATTTAATAAAGTACTAATGACTTTTTAAATCCGGTATAAAGGAATGATTCAAAAAAGAAAGAAAGAAGCTGAACTTCACTGAAAATAAATTTTTCTGCTCTGTAAAATATACTGAGAATGAAATGGCAAGACAGACTGGGATAAGATTTTTGCAAAGGACAAATATTACAAAGGATTCTTATCATGAACACATGCATAAAACTCAACAACAAGATTACAATCCAGTTTAAAAAGTTAATGAAAGATAGCTCAGCAAAGGGGTTATGTAAACACACAACGCTCTTCATCACAAGCTGTCACAGACTTACAGAGACACAGAAAAGATCACTGATGGTGAGAATGCAAAATGATGCTACGACTTTGGAAGACAGCTTTGTGGCTTTTTAGGAAATTGAATAAAATCTTACCATGGTATCCATAAATTTCTTGATTGCATGTTTACTCAAAGGAGCTAAAAGCCTAAATCCATGAATAAACTCATACGCCAATATGCACAGGGACTTTGTCCTTAATTGCCAAAATGTGGGAGCCAACAAGCTGGTCTTCACTAGGTCAATGGATAAGTAAATCATGGTGCAGCCATACTGTAGAATATTAGTCAGTGCTAAAACAGCATGCAGGGAAGGGAACATAAATCTATACTATGAAGTGAATGCAGTCAATCTGTAAAGGTGACATACATATGATTCCAACTGCATGGCATCCTGGACAAAGCAAAGCTGGGGAGACAACAAACATCATTGGCTACCAGAACAAAAACACAGGTCCCATGGTTTGCCTTATTTGTAATAATTAATATACATCTAGGAAAATCTTAGCAGATGAGCAGAATAGTTTGATAGCTATGGACATATGACCATATAAGAGGATGCTATGCAAAATGAACTCCAAGACATGGACACAAGAGACTTTTCTTTGTTATCTTTGTTTTTAATGTACTACATGATTTCTTTTTTCCTTTATGTCTCCCCCCTCCATACCCGCCATGGTTTATGCCCTGTTGTCACTGCTTTTGATTTTGGTCCGCTTGGCATTGTACATATGTGTATCTGAATTAGGGAAGAGAAGAGGAACAAAAAATGGTGAGATAAAGGACAAAGTGGGGAACCAATGCAACACTCACAAGACACTATGTTGGAAATGATCTGTACAACTTGGGGGGTGATGAGGTAGGAAAGAGGGAGAAAAATGTGGGAAAGGGTAACAAGTTCAACAAGAAATGTACTCATTACTTTACTTATGTAATTATAACCCCTCTGTACATCACCTTGACAATAAAATTATAATAAAAAACAGAAACTTAAAAAAAGAAAGAAGAATGCATAGACAAAACATATAGATACTTAGGACAGTAAAAATGTGCTGTCAGATACAACATTGGCAGATATATATCAGACATTTTCAAAACCTATGCAATGCATGTCACCAGGAGTGACCCTATAGGTAAATATTGAGTAATAATAATAGGACACCATAAGCCAAGCACTGGTGATTCACATCTGTAACACTAGCCACACAGGAGACTGAGATCTGATGATCATGGTTCAAAGCCAACCCAGGCAAGAAAGTCCGTGAGACTCTTACCTCCAATAAACTACACAGAAAAAGCCAAAAGTGATGTGTGGCTCAAGTGGGGAAAGCTAGCCTTGATCAAAACATAAGCTCAGGAGTAGCACCCAGGATCTGAGTTCAAGCCCCAGGACTGACAAAAAGAAAAAGAAAAAGAAATAGCATAATTTCACTAATGAAAACAAATTTACATGTGGAGGGGGAATAAGGAAACAAGTATATGTAGTATAGAAGAACTCTATTTGCTGTAGAGCTACACTCTAAAAAATATTTTTAATTATTTAACAAAAAGTAAAAGTAAACAAAGTTGGAAGTGGATCAACTAATAAACAAGTATAGTGTTCCAAGTAAAAGATGTAATATAATTCAATTATACCACAGTCAAATAAACAAAAAATAGTTAAACAAAATGCCCTGTATCTTACAGTTTTACCAATTCTGAAATCTAAAAGAAATCTTACCATGTGAAAGATAGGTCTATATTTTGAATACATATTGTATGGCTAAACATGGTAATATATACCTATAATCTAGCAAATAGGGAGCAAAATAGCAAAATACACTTCCAGCTCAAAGTCACCCAAGAAAAGTAGCAAGACTCTATCTCAAAAACAAAATATTGTACAAACAAAAGATTAAAAAAAATTAAAAAAATTTATTGTGAATTAACCTAACCAAAAGTAAGTCTCAAATAACAGTTATATAAGATAGTATATATCCACTGTCATTATAATCTTTCACATGAAAAGAATTTAAGGCAGCTGGGAGGTAAGTTCTGCCAAGTTCCTTGCATGGATTGTCTCATTCAATGCTTTTTTAAAAATATATATACTTTTTATTGTAAAGATACCGTACAGAGGGGTTACAGTTACATGAGCAAGGTAATGAGTCCATTTCCTATCAAGCATTGTTACCTCCTCCTTTGTTTTTCCCCTACCATCCCTTTTCTCCTCACATCACCAACTCCTCCCTCCCCCCATCCAAAGTTGTAAAGTTCATTTTCAACATAGTATCTTATACATCTCATTGTTACAATCGGTCATCCTGTATCCTTGTTTCACATATGGTTATATCCCTTCTCCTCCCCCCAAATTAGAAATATGTATATACAGGATGCAGGGCACTGGAATCAAATTCAGTGAAAACAGGGGTTATACCATAAGGGAAGAACAAACAAAAGAAATTTTTAAAAAATCACATGGTACATTCTAAATACGTTAAAAACAACAGCAAGAAAGAAAAAACCACTTGTGTCCCTTTCTTGGGGTTCATTTCACTTAACATCATCTTATCTGGTCATATGTACATAGCTTTTGACCTTATTAAGAGCTGTATCAAAACATTCCTCAGTAGATATTATCATATATAAATATCCAGTCAAAATGATATTAATATAAGAGCAGAGTGCTAGTAGTTTATTCCTGTATCCCTAGCTATTCAAAAGGCTGGGATGAGACGATCTCAAGGCAAAGCCAGCCCTGACAGAGAATCCCTCCACATTCTTAGCACCAATTAACTAGGAAAAACAACAAAAACAGAAATGAAAGTGGGGCTCAAGTGATAGAGCACTCAACCTAGTGTTAAAAAAACTAAGTAAAACCAAGAACAGGAAAAGAAGAAAATGAAGTATTTTACCATATATAGTTTCGGATGACATCACATTTCGTATATGAAAACTTCAAGTAACTAAGTTCACCCTATGTGATTACTTGCAAAGCTTGAAAACTTGTTGTCTATTTCTTCAAATATCTAAAAATACAGTAATTTATATTTAGGAAATAGTTCCTATCAGCTAGGAGGCTAAATTTGGGACATAGTAATTTCAAAAGTCATATGACACTCCTATTCAAACTCATGAAAGACTAAAGTAACCCATGTAGTAAGAACAAATCAACTTCGTGACAGCTGATAAATATAAAAGAATCAAGCTATTCATTTACAATTAGGAAAGCAGGTAATTTTACTAGAGTATTTATGATCTTTGACTTTCTCACCTGAGAAAATACAAATGGTGACTCCACAGGTGATGTGAAAAGTCCTGCTCTTATCCAGCATTCTTCTGGTCATTCTGCTTGGGATCTAAAAAAAATTGTTTAGTATGTACAACAATGAAACTAATAAGATATTTGTACTACATTTTAAGTAGTTCTGTCTAGAATATCAAGATTTTGGAAACAGAGTAAAGACTTACTAATTAAATTTTAGTGTGGTGAGTTCTCTTGTCACCCTAGCTACTCAGGAAGCTGAGGATCAAGGCTTGAAGCCAGGCTGACAGGAAAATCCATGAGACTCTGACTTCCAACTTATCCCAAAAAAGCCAGAAGAGGAGCTGTTGCTCAAGTGGTAGAGTGCTAGCCTTTGGGGTGGGGAACCTCAGGAACAGTACCCAGGATCCCAGTTTAAGTCACACACACACACACACACACACACATATGCGCACACACACACACACACACACACACACAATTACTGAAATGAACTATGGAATATCTGGTCAACAGAAGGCTCAAAACATTCAAAGGAATATAAAAAGGTTATATGATTGATTAGAAATAATTTTCAAGATATATCGTTAAGAAAAATGCATAAGAGTGTCACTGTGGTTCTCTTCTGCTCAAACTTAATGTATTGCATATTAATATCTGCAGACATTTATCCCAAACTGTTATCAGTAGTTGTTCTGGCAGAGTAAGATTAAGAAAAATGTTTTCTGGTAATTTTGCATATTTCTGGAAGGTTTGAATATCACAGTATATATGCTTTCTTTTTGTAGTAAAAGTAAACTTACTTTTAAATGGTGCAATATCACCCATGGTTTTAAAGGCCTGCTTGATGTTGTAGAAATATAAATGTCAAGCATCTTTGAATATCTGTATTTCACACTGAGCAACAATTCTTTAAGACTTATTAAATACTGAGAGACCACGGCGGGAACTTTTCACTTTCTGCCACTTATCTCCTTTTGCTTCATGCCAAGCCAATGGCCAGCCACAGGGACCAAAACTTAGCATTTAACAATGGTAGGCTACCTACAGAAAGCTATTTCCACAAATTACTGCATTAAAATAGTTTCCAAAAATAAGTACATAAAAGAGTTGACAAGTTTGGCTAAAATAAACTTTTATATATGAACTTCATAGAACTTCAAAGTAAGTTCATGCTAATATTTTTTTAAAAACCATTATTAATCCAATATTACCTTACTACCATAGTGAAGAATAAATGGATGTACACACATGTTTGTTTGCAAGCTCACAGGACTACACAAAATAATCAAAGACAAAAACCAATTTCATTTGAGTTTTAATATAATGACTGCTAAAGTATTTTGTTATCTCCTCCTTTATTTAACATTTCTAAATATTTATCACACAGGACAATAGCTATTTTATCAAGTCATCGGTTTCAAGCCTATTCTGCTGCTGTAAATGGTATGCAAGTTAAGTAGAGATGAGTTGCCAATGCTAGCAGTCTTTCTATTCAGTGCTCAAAGGCAAAACTAACTTGCTTATCTGAATGTAAGAAACTGAAAACATAGGATGCCAGTGAGCATGGTATACTGGAAAGAGTTCAGAATTTGGACTGACTAGCTATGCCATCAGTAGATTTATGATGTCAGTGTAGTCATTTAACATTCTCTATGCCTCATATTTCTTGTATATAAAATAGACTATTAATACCTGATTACAGAATCATTATAAGGTGTCACAGTCATGTATGCAAAGGGTTGAGCACAGTTCCTGAACATACTGTGAATGTCATTTCTGCTATCATCCACCTTTATCTAGGTGATAGTCCACTGATTACCTTATTATGTCTTTTTCCATCACAACTAAAGTTCTCTAAACAAAATCAGACCAGGAAAAGTAAGCAGGATGAACAGATGACTGTTGCACTTGATTGTTACACTGAAAGCCGTGACTTACCTTACTTGAACCTCGCAGAAAAGCCAGGAGTGTCCGGCACATGGGTAGAAGAATAAGGCTGCAGTTGAAGTTGAGAACAGATGCAGAGGCTCTGCTTAGACACAATCCTAGCTGAACAAACAAGGCAAGGGTCAAGATATAATCAAGAACAAATCACAACAGCCCTGACATGTATGCTCTACGTTTTATCCTGCTCCTCTTTAAACACCATGGCAATTACCAACTCCCTCAAGAGTCCTGAAACCAAAAGTCCTCTTAGAAAAACTAGTTTCTTTCTGCTCTGAATGGCCATAAAACTAAGTTCTTCTCTCATTTCTGCTGCTGTAATAAGCACTTGAGCACATCCTTTCAGCTGAGGGACAATTTCTCCCTCTTTTCTTCTTCTGGCCTGAACGGGTACTGGTCTCAGAATTGTGTTTTCTATACGTCTGCAATCAGGACATATTGGAATCTTTTCACTAGTGAGTCTCCAAGAGCTGTAAATGACACTTTTCTCATTTGTATTCTCTCTCTCAAGTTCTCTCCATTCCCACACAAACCCACTCCTGTACTACATCTTACTTCCAAACATACCACCTTGGTAACTCCACTCAGCTCCTAGATTTCATCTACAGCCCTTCTTTCTTGAGATTTACTCTGACCTAAAAATAGGAGACATCCTACTGCCATAAATTCTCTCATTATTTTTCTTTTTGTTCTTTAGAATGTCTTTTGACACTCTTTACAATTGTTCTATTGCATGTTTTCATTTATTAATTTAAAAAATAAATGTCTCACATATTTATGGGGTACAATTTGATGGGTTTTAGGCAGACAATTGAGAATGACCAAGATATGTTAATATATGTATCATCTCAAGTATATACCATCCTTTTCTTTATTTTGAAGCATGTAATGCATTATAAACTGCCATCACCATGTGGTTAAATAGCTTATCAGAAACTGTTTCTATTGCCTACCTGCAACAGTGAACCCTTCAAGCAACCTCTCCACATTCCTGACCCACCATAATTCCACTAGCTGCTTCTGCAAATTTGACTTCTTTACATTCTAAATATAATATAATCATATTTCTTTGTTTATCTTGCATATGACCTCTAAATGGATCCATGCTGATGCAAATCACCAAGTTTAAATAAGACAGTTTGGAAGAAAAGCTATTCATGTGTTTAAGGTTGTCTGGAGAGCAGGACATATCCAACTTTCAACTGTTTGTTTATAGTTCCATTTCTCATTTGATCACAGTTAATTTAAAACATCATTTATTTATTTATTTATTTATTTTTGCCGGTCATGGAGCCTGAATTGTAGGCCTAGGCTCTGTCCCTCAGCTCTTCAGCTCAAGGCTAGCACTTTACCACTTGAGCCAGAGTACCACTTCCAGCTTTTTCTGCTTATGTTGTGCTGAGGAATTGAACTCAGGGCTTCATGCATGCAAGGCAAGCAATCTACCACTGAGCCACCTTCCCAGCCCCTAAAACATCATCTTTATATGAAAATAAATGAAGAACATTATGAAATGGAACCCCAAAACACACACAGTTCAGTTTGTCCACATGATACTTATAAATATATTGTTTCCCTGCAGTTTCAGGTAGTAGTTAATATTACAATTCCTCTTACAAACTGGTAATAGTGTGTCCTGGAGGAATTAAGAACTGACTCAACATAAAAAAAATTATGAACTTCAAGTGGATCAGAGATGTCAATGTCAGACCTGAAACTGTAAAAACCACTAAAAGAAAATATATTTATATTTTTATTTTCTGAATAAAATTCCAATAGCTCAGCAACTAAGGGCAAGAATGGATGAATAAGACTGCATCAAATTTAAGGTTTCTGTATACCAAGAAAGCTAATCACAAAAGACTACCATAGTTCTAAAATGATTTAAGAGCTCTTTACAAATTATTTTCATTATTAATATATTAAATACAGTGATTAAAAAACCTGGTGAAGCTTTTTAATGTAATCTTCAGATAAACTCTGTGAAACAGATTTAGTAGATGTCATTATTGGCACTTCAGAAATTAAGAACTATTTTAAAGTAAAAATAATTGGGTTTGTAACCAGAAATCTGTTTCCTAGCATGGGGTGGCATCTGACAATAAATGTGTCTGAAAGTTCCCCAGATTATTCTAATATGCAAAGCTGGGTTGAATCTTAAACTGGCTCCTCCATAATTCTTCGAAAGTTATGGAAAATGACAACCATTAAATTTGAATAAATAAACATAATTGTGTTTTTCCAAATTCACCATCTTAGTTTAATTTTGGTTAATTATTACATCAAAATATAAAAGTAATTAATCTAAGAAGGCATAAATTTAAAAAGTGATAGCACAGACTTCATCTTCAGAAGGCTGTCAGAGTAAAACAAAACAAATGCTTGCTATTACCTTAATAGAAAAAAAAAAAAAACAATGAACCAAATGTCTTAGTGAGTCACAGAAAATATTTTCAAGACACACATGGCAGCTAACACCTATAATCCTAGTTATACAGAAGGCTACCTGTGGGTCTCAGTTCAGAGCCAGCTCACAGAGAGAAACCCAAGACTTACATTTCCAATTAACCAGCCAAAAGCCAGCACTAGAGATATGGCTCAGGTTGTAGAGTGAGCATTAATCAAAAGCCAAGTTTACCTGGTGCACAAGTTGAACCTAGAGTTCAAGCCCCAGTACCAATACAAAAAAGAAAACATTTTCAAAACCTTGCTATTTAATTTTAAAAGCTATTTAATTAAATTCACTGACATCTGAGTCATGTAAGAATGGAGAAGGGGAACATATTGCCCAAGTTAAACAAGTAGCAAGAAATGGACTTTGTACCCTGCACTGATCTTTTTCATCTCAGGCTAAAACTACAACAGAAATTTAGCAATAAAGGATACAGGAAGAAAAATAATAAAGTAACAGAAGTGGGGAAAGCCTGCTCCCAAAACTCCCATGGGTTTCAAGCATTGTGACTTGGTTGCTGGTAGAGTGCAATAATCAAGCCAAGGTCTTGAGTTTCATCTCTCATCAAGCCTGATTTCTTCATTTCATTCTTTGGTTATGAGCTACCTCTGTATCTCTAGCCAGAATACTTATTTTTCAGTTGTGCATTCATAAGCATGTCTGTATCTGAATAAGCGTCCGAATTCTCTGAGCTTTCTGCATTGTTTTGCTTCCCATAAAACCTAGACAGTTTCCGAAAGGTATGTCAATCTCTCCTGTCTGCCTCTCAACAACACAATCTGCCACTATAGAATTGGCTCATTCTCTTCTATTCGTTTTTGAAACCCAGCTTCTCAAATGCGAGCTTATATTATTGTGGAAAAGCATTATGGAAAATGAAAATTCCCATTGCTATATTAAATATGTGGACAAAAGGAAATGTACTTTTTACAGAAACTGTGAATCAAGAAAATTCCTAGTTCTATTATTACTTGTAGAATATGAATGCTAATCTATCAAAATAGTCAACTGATAAATCTTGAGTGACTAAGTGAATGAATGAAAGGGGAAAAACAAATCGTTTAAATAGGGATACAGGTGGACCCATTGCAACAATGAGATGTACAAGTCATTATGTGGAAAAATGAACTTTACAACTTTGGTAGAGGGCGGGGTAGAGGGAGGATTGGGTGGGGGGGGAGGATGGGAAGGGATGGGAAGGGGAAACAAAGGAGGAGAAGGAGGAGGCTACAATGCTTGATAAGAAATGTACGCATTATCCTGCCCATGTAATTGGAACCCCTCTGTACAGTATGTTCACAAAAAAAAAATTAAATTAAATTTAAAAAAAAGTTTAAAAGAAAAATAAAATAAAATAAACCAAAAAAAAAAAAAAAAAGAAATGTACTCATTGGGGCTGGGAAGGTGGCTCAGTGGTAGAGCGTTTGCCTTGCATGCATGAGGCCCTGGGTTCGATTCCTCAGCACCATATAAGCAAAAAGAAAAAAAGCCGGAAGTGGCGCTGTGGCTCAAGTGGTAGAGCGCTAGCCTTGAGCTGAAGAGCTGAGGGACAGCGCCCAGGCCCAGAGTTCAGGCCCCACGACCGGACCCAAAAAAAAAAGAAAAAGAAATGTACTCATTATCTTGCCCATGTAATTGTAACCCCTCTGTACAGTATTTTCACAATAAAAAAAATAAAAAATAAATAAAATAAATAAATAAAAATCTCTAAATAAATTTAGATAAATACATTTGATGTACATAAACACACAAATGTTTGTATTAACAGATTTTTTTAATATCCAGATTTAGTCTATGCCAGGTACTGGTGGCTCACATCTGTAATCCTAGCTACTCAGGAGACTGGGATCTGAGAATCATGGTTAAAAGGCAGCTCAGACAGGAAAGTCCATGAAATCCTTATCTCTAATTAACCACTAAAGAGCTGGAAGTAGAGCTGTGGCTCAAGTGGAAGAGTGTTAGCCTTAAGCAAAAAGAGCTCAAAGATAGTGCTCAGACCCAGAGTTCAAACCCCAGGGCCCACACAAAAAAATAAGATAACATAAAAAAAGACTTAATCTAAAACAAAATATTTAAATCCAATACTAAGGTTGTAAAATTAGAGAAAGGCAAATGAAGGAGTCTTTGTAGAGAATATTTATAAGTCATAGGCATTAAAACCAAATTGGCCAAAGTTCAAATACTATTACCTCTTTCATGCCTTGGGGAAATTATTTGTACTTTCTGATCTGTGCTTTAATCATTTGTGAAGATAAAATAATAACATCTTTAGAAAAACCTGAATAAAGAAAGCTACTTGAAAACGTCCACAGGAGGATTTCTGCTATTAAATGTTATATTTACTCAACTTTGTTTTATTCTTTATTTTTTACATAGAGAAAGATAAATAAAAGGAAAGGAAAAAAGGAGAGGGTTGTTTTTTTTTTTAATTTTGTATTTCCAAAAGAAAAAAATGTCTTCCAGTAATTCACTGCATTGTTTTATACTCCTCAATCCTTTGTTTACCTGCATTCTTTCTCAACAATGAAAAGAAGGAAGGAAACAAATGAAAGAGAATAAGAAGTATGGAAAGATATATAAGAAGATAACACTGTTCAAAAAGAAATGTACTCAATACCTGATTTAACAATACCTGACTACAATAAAAAA